GGCTACTTGTTTCTGTCCCAAGGCTTTCTTCTTGTTTTGGCCTCTGGGCTGATACAACTGGTTGCAGAGGGAACCTCCAGATCATTTCATAGATGTGTTTTCTGGGGAGTTGTACAAACTGTTGGACTCAGCTAAGTGAGAAAGTCAGGTTTAGGGTGGAGAGAGGACGGAAACATCTCAAAACAGTTTTGCCCCTTGTCATGGTTTAACCCCAGCCAGCAGCTAAGCACCACACAGCTGCTCACTCGCTCCTCCCTGCTCCCAGTGGGATGGGGAGGACAATCGAAAAAGTAAAACTTGTAGGTTGAGATAAGAATGACTTAATAACTAAAATAAAAATAAATAATAACAATAATAAAATATAATTGTAAGGAAAATGAGTATAATAAAGAGAAATAAAACCCCAGGAGAGACAAGTGATGCACAGCGCAGTTGCTCACCACACACTGACTGATGCCCAAGCAGCAATCCACCCCCAGCCAACTCCCCACAGTTTATAGACTGGGCATGATGTTCTGTGGTACAAAATATCCCTCTGGCTAGTTCAGGTCAGCTGCCCTGGCCGTGCTCCCTCCCAGCCTCTTGTGCACCTGTCTGCTGGCAGGGCATGGGAAACTGAAAAATCCCTAACTTAGAATAAAGCACTGCTTAGCAACTAAAACAGCAGTGTGTTACCAACATTAATCTCACACTGAATCCAAAAATCCAAAACACAGCACTGTGTCAGCTACTAGGAAGAAAATAAACTTTATTCCAGCCAATACCAGGTCATCCTGGAAGAAAATGATGTCCTGGAACTATGTCCTCTCTGGCTTGTCACATGTGTGCCATGAAGAACCTATTGCTGTCCTCACTGAATCTGCGATTTAAGTATGTTGCAATTGTTTGGGTAGTTTAATTCTTGTGCTCATTTACATCCTCTGGTAAAGATACCTAAAGGCTTTGAGAGGACATTCACCTTCATGTGCTTTGAACGTGTGTCCCTGATTGCTCCCAGCTGGCTTTGCTGGAGGTAGGCTTGGTTGACTCAGTAGTTTAACTGGAAAAAATTGTTATTTTATTGAACTATAATGGAAGAGATCCATTTTGAAGAATGCAGCTCCCGGTATTCAGGGACTGGTAAGCTCATACTGAATCATAACGGACTGTTTCCAGCCAGGAAAAGGTTCATACCCTGCTTAGGACGTGCTGAGCTGCACAGAAGAAAGCAGTGGAAGTAGACGTGGGAAGATGGGCAAGCCAGCCTCTGAAGGCAAACAGCTACTTGTTAGTCCAACAGTATTGGATATCAGGGAGGAGACAGTACAGGTCCAGCTGTTCATATCATGTGAGCTGAAAAGAGATGATTCCTGACCCATCACGTCCTCACACTTTTACTTCTAGAAACTAACGTTCTGAATGTATCAATGGAAATATGTTCTAGTTTTTAATTAAAGGGTGGGATTTTTAGTGAAATAATTTTATTGTATTGCTTAGATCCATCCCCTGAGCAGGAAGAGCCAGACTCTGCTTTTGAAGCTACTCAGTACTTTTTTGAAGACATCACACCGGAATGTACACATGGTAGGCATCTTTTGTCTCAGGCGTGAAAAGATGAGGTAATGCATTTCGAACAACATGGTTTTTTAGGAAGCTACTTTTTTATTGGATTAAACTTTGAAGTATTCTCTGTAAAAAGTAGTGTGTAGTCCTCATATATGCAGGTGTGTGTACACTTAAGAACTCCCTTGGATTGTGCATTGCAGAATAATGTCATCGGTGTGTTACAATAGAAGTAATACTGTAATAAGTGCAGCACACACACCTTGATGGAGAATGGGAATAAATATATTGGCTTTGAAGAGATATTTGGATCAGAACTCAAAATATTCTAAAAAAAAATAAAGCCAAAAGATATATCAAACTGTAGTTCAGCAGTTTGAAATCTTCTTGTACCCTAATGAAAACCTGGGTCTTGTCACTGTTGCCTTAAATAGCATTCTCTTTGAGATATTTGATGTTAAGTTTCTCTCTGATTCAAGAATAATATTGCCCATCCTTCAGATTACAGGGGGAAGGAAGGTGGTTTGAAAATACGGATAAGAATTAATAGTGTAGAGATGGTAAGAATTAACATACTAGAGAATTAATAGACTAGAGATTACAATTTTAAGTCCTGATAGACAAAAGAAGATGCATTAATATAATCACCAAGTGTATCATGCTAGAAGCTGTTTGTGTTGTGGTAGCACAGGCTAATCATTGTACCACACAAACAAAACTAAAGATGGTCTCTGTCTTAGTATTTATATTATTAATTATGTGGAATTTGTCAACAGATTCAAGAATAAGCAGAAATCATCATTTAGTCCTATCCTTTTTACGCTGCTTTTTTTTTTCAGTGTAAATATTTTCTTTATTTTGCACTGTACACATGGAAAGTATGTATGTATCTAAAACCACACTGATCTCTCTCACCCCACCCTTCCACCTTCTAGTTGTCGGCCTAGACACCAGAAATAAACAAGGAGTAGATGATGGCTTTGTTACAGTGAGTCTGAAAACAGACAAAGGTATGCATGGTGTCTCCATTTGAATTACAGCTTTCATGTCTTATAAAGATGCTCCCTTTGAAAATAGGGGGGAAAAAGTATTAATGTAAGGTTTCTTTATGGAATTTCTGGGTATGTTGACAATAGGCAAGAAGAGCTCACAAGAGAATCGAAATTATCTGCGAATGTGGAGCCAGGAGAATAAATCCAAAGCAAAAAACACAAAGGACTTGCCCAAACTGAATCAGGTACTTCTGCTGAGGCTTTTTTTTTTCTTCCCATTAACTTTAAACTTTCTTCACATACCTACAAATATTCAATACATTAATACTGAATAAAGGTTTTCTTTTGAGGCAGATACTTTTTTTTACCAGAGCAGCAGTCAGCTGATTACAGAAGTTAACGTTTTCAACATATTGTCACTGGCATTCAGCTCCCAAAACATCCTAAAAATGAGATACACAGATACAGGAATGATAACATAACTATCTTGATCTCTGGACAAAGGGTGATGATATGGCACTGAATATCCCCAGATAGCTCATGGAGTCCAATAGACATTACTTGAAAGAAACATTTTATGTCTTGTAATTTATGTCAGTCTCATTCCCCGTAGCTCCCCAGCTGCTGAGGAGAAGGAGAAATACTGGGACAGCTGTTTCCTCCAGAGCATATAGGGAAGGTTTATTCCCTGTAGAGTAATGCTTCTTACTTAAGGTAGCCCTAAGCAAATTTCCTTCCTGCTTAATTTGTGAGTCCTGAATTCCAGAAGGCTTGCATCCAGCTAACTGTCAATTCAGAGAGTGCTGTGGGTCTCATTTAATTTTTCAATACTTCTCATTAGTTAATAAGTCAACACAGCATTGTTCCTCCAAGAAAATCCACCAAAATGAATGCTGAGTGTCTCAGTGCTCACCCTCTGCTGCCCTCCTGTGGCTGCAGAGAAATAAAAATTGTCATTTGTTAGAAGAAACATCCAAGTTTATTCTAAAGAGCCTTGAGAGAGGCAGCACACCTGGCTGCCCAGTCATAGCAAATGCTTTCTTGGCTGCACCTAGATTATTTCCAGTTTCAGTTTAATCCTGTAAACGATTGTGTCATACCTCCATTCCAGACTTTTTAAACCGGTTTTGTAGATCTCAGTCTGATCTGTTTCCTGCTCTCTCATTAAGGTTTGCTCCCTCTGTGTTTAGGGACAGTTCATTGAACTGTGCAAGACAATGTACAATATGTTCAGCGAGGACCCCAATGAACAAGATCTGTACCACGCTACCGCTGCTGTGACGAGCTTGCTTTTGGAAATAGGTGAGGTTGGTAAGCTCTTCAGCACACAGCCCACAAAAGAGACAGACAGCAGCAGTAACAGCTGCAGCAAAGCTATCGCCAGCGAGCTGTTTCAGAAGAAGGAGCACCAGCAGTACCCCCTCGAACAGCACAAGCCGTTCCAGAGCAGCCTGGTCAGCGGGGATGAGGAGGCTGTTTGCACCGACAGCGCTCTGGGCATGCAGATGGAAGACATTAAGCTCGAAGACTCTTCTCCCAGGGACAACGGAGCCTGTTCCTCCATGCTCATTTCCGATGATGATACAAAAGATGATAGTTCGATGTCCTCCTACTCGGTACTGAGCGCAGGTTCGCACGAAGAAGAAAAGCTGCACTGTGAGGACATCGGCGAGGACACCGTTTTGGTACGGAGCAACCACACCACTTCTCTTCGTAGAAGCACTAGCATCGACAGGGACTGGGCCATTACCTTCGAACAATTTTTAGCCTCCCTTTTGACTGAGCCAGCGCTGGTTAGGTACTTTGACAAGCCTGTGTCCATGATGGCTAGGATTACTAATGCTAAAAATATAAGGATGATGGGGAAACCAATAACCTCAGCCAGTGACTATGAAATCTCTACTATGTCGGGATAAAAGGCAGTCGGGTTTTTTATTTATTTTTTTTATTCTGTATTTATTAGTACCTGGCACCGGCCTTGGTATTTTCAGAACATGATTGTTTTCACTAATGTGAAAATGTTTGGGTGCAGACTTAACTATCTTGAAGTATAATCACTCTTTCTGTGGGAAATGTTACACAAATGCAAATTTTATTCAAAATACAGAAAAAAACCCAGTTGTCGGTGAAGTGTGTGTAGTATTAACCTTGCTGTCAATATAAAATGGTAAAGATTAGTTCTTCATTTCTAAATGTAAACTTAATGCAGATATTTATGTGCATTTTTAAAACAAACATATATAGAGATCTGATTCTTGGGGAAAAAAAAAAACAAACCAGGAAGTACCTAAAATTTAAAGGGACACTGTCAACCTGAATAGGACCTCAGGTGAAATTAAACTCCAGGCAACATCCCTGAAGGATAATTTTATTTCATATAACTTTTTTTTTTTTTTTGGTCAAAGAGGATAAGGGGTTTAACACATGCTTCAATTTTTTTTTTTTTTTTTTTTCTTGTAATATACAAAGATGACTTCAGTGACACCTGCCTGGCTCTTAACTTCCTCTGCTTGAGACTGGGATGCTCCAATAGAAGCAAGAAGGCCATCCCAAGCCTAGCTGGCACATCAGGCAGATGTAGTTAAATGTGATGATTTCTGCTCCCACAGAAGGCAGAGCCCGTTGCGCCTTTCCCGGCGTTCAGCGTCCTCTGGCTGCGCCAAACCCAGCCCAGGGAGAGCCCTTCCCTTCCCTGGCTGCAGCCACCAAGGAAAGGTCTCCAGCACCACCCTGCCTGGAGCTGTATTCCCAACCAGTGGACTTGGAAGCTTTGCTCCAGGGACAGTGTATGCAGGTCCCAGAACAGATTGGTAGAGTCTCTTTTTAAAAATTGAAAGCTGTTTTTAAAAGTTTAAAAAAAAAATTATATATATATATATACTTCTAAGGCTGGATCTACAGCATATATAGCTTAGCTCTTAAAACTAACCTTTACCACCAACCTATTATATCCTTGTTAGATTAAGAAAATAAAAACCTGTATTGCATAAGTCTTCATTTACAACAGTGTAAAGTATCAGTAATGAAAAAAAATCTGCAAGATAATGTAACTGAATGTTTAAGTCTTACTGAGAACACTGTCACTTTATATAAAATGAATAGTATCCTGTATCAATTTACTGAATAATATGTTAAAATGAAAACTGGAGCACCTGCACTTTGAATCCTTGCTTCTTTTATACAGATATTCAGGATTTTTTTAAATTCTGTTAGCTGTTTTTTTAATTCATATTTTTTCAGTTCAGGATCATGCTTATATGCCTAATCTTTATTTGCTGTTTTAAGAACATTTTCTGTAGAATACCGTTGATTTTTTTTTTTTTTTTATATACTCCTGTATATTGCATCCATGTAACTTGCAGATTTTTTAGCAGAAGCTATGTTTAATTCTTTTGTCTTAAAAGAATGCTTTTAAACTGTCAGATGAAGTGGTTTTTAACCACAAATAGGTAATGTGAACAAATAAAGTACACTCTGCACAGATTTGGTTTTTAACTATTAAAGACATGCTAGAGGGAAAAGTGGGTGATTGTGGTTTATTACACAGACAAATGATTTTGGATCTTCAGCACTGGGTTTCAGCACAAAAACATTTGATGTTTCCAGGCCTGGTTTTGTTTAACACTTGGATGTGTTTAATTCCATCTGCACCGAGCAGCCCATGCAAGCTTCTCTCACGCTACCCACTTTCACTGAACAGTTTTCCCTGCTATGCTTACATTTGGTGACAACAGTTTTTATTACATTTTAAGACCCCCAGATATTTTATGACCCATCTATGCTTTGCAGTAACTCACTGGGCATGCTTTTAAAGCTTGAAGTTTTTTACAGGGTACTGGTAAGCTGAGATGTCAGCCTTGAAACCATGGCAGTGACGGAACAGACATGGGTGTGCTCTATTCAGTTAATTATATTTTTAAAATATTTCATTGTATGTGTGCAAAGTTTATTTGCAAAATATGGCTGTTAACTTCCCAGTGCTGCTCATATATCCCTTGTCTCAGTTTACTGTTGATTTTTTTTTTTCTGTTGATGAGAGTTTTCTCCTTTATAAGTTAGCCATATGTAGACTGTGTATAACAGTATGAAAAAGCAGTATAGTCTTTCTGCATATAAGACTGTGCAGATTGGTTTATATGTGAATATCAAATAATAATATTCATTTGAAGCCATAATCACCATTTTGAAAAATAGGGCTTTGTTTTTAACTTAAGATGCCAAGGCCAGAGCAGGGTGCTTTACTGCAATGCCTGGCAGCTGGATAAGTTAACTCAGAAGTCTTCAGCACTAAGAGTTAACATCCTTAAGCAGGCTGTTGACCTTTTTAAGTTTGCAGATCCCTAAAATATTTTTCTTTTAGGTGTCTGTCAGGGTAAAGTGAACTTAGACCTATCAGCAATCTTCCACACACCCCTAGAGATGCACAGAGCACAGATGAAAAACATTTCTTTATCTCAATAGGGGTGGCCAGCTTTGCTCCACACCCCACCTGCAGGCCTGGGGGTACAACCTATCAATGAAAATTATTTTGCTCTTACAACTTTTATAACAATAAGAAGCATCACAAGCGGATCTCTGGTGTAAACAGGAGCTGTTTTACAAGGCAACTTTTTTTTTTTTTTGTTTTGCTCCAGTAGCCTTCCTTGCCTTCCCTATCATGTCAGCAAAGCTCCAAAGTGTAAGCCAGGTCATCTTTAAGAATGGCTTTGCTGTAGGTAGCACCCAGGTGAGCTGATTTTCTCCAAATTTCTTCGGGTGAGGCTGCTCACCTGATTAGGGCCACACCAAATGGCCACCTGGCAGTTGCTTATTTGATGATGAAATCTGCTGTGACCTGTTCTTTAGTAAATGGATGGAAGTTGATGAGAGGTAAGCTACAAGAGTTCGACAGACCAGCACACAGTGATGTGAAACCTTTGAGAAAATGTGAGCAAGTATTTTTGAAGACTTACCTATATGTAGGCATGCTACCCAGGCAAATCAATATGGCTTTAGAAGTGCCTAGCTCTTGTGCTTTGTATGCTTTGAGAGAGTCTCTTTAATCTGTGAAATGTAGAGTTTACTTAGGGCTGTTAGTCTCACAGCCAGGGGAAAAAAAAATAATCTTGTTCCTCTTCAGAGCTGAAATCTGTGACTGGACACTGACACGTGCTGCTTTTCTAGCTTAGTAGGAGCCTGGTGGGAACAGGGTGCTGCCTGCCTGCCAGGGAAATGAGAGAGGAGTGGGAGGTTATTCTATAGAGCTTTCTCTATTTAAAAAAAAAAAAAAAAAGTTCTTATATTTTCTTCTGTCTTTCACCTTTGTCAGATAAGCGTATGAAAGGTCAGTGGTACTCCCTTCATTGTAGCATCTTACAGCTCCTGAATTTGCAGTGTTAGAGCTGAGAGTTGTGTTTGAGGCTTGTAAAGGTTTGGGTTTGTGTTGCACAAGTTTTGGTCAAGCAGACAGAAAGCTTCTTATGTGATGTATTAAACCTACAGAAAATCTGTCATAACTGTTGTAAAAAGAAAAGCACTTAATGGGTTCTTAAATAGTGATGCTGGAGCTTCTGCTATAGTCAATGTTACGTGTCTGGTGTGCCATAAACTGAGGTGGCGGAGGCTGATGTGGTGTGGTATGTAAGGGGGCTGTGGGAGAGAAAGGGAATACCCTTAAAGCAGTTGGTCAAGCAAAGAGATGGTGCTTTTGCTTGGAAAGCTGCGCAGCCAGGTCTGGTTCCTCTGCAGGGTACTCTTCAAGCTTCAGGATCCCTCCTGTCACAAGGTCTTTGTTACTCATGTTTAATCTTGCAGCAGCGTTTTGAAACTGTGGTGATTGATTTGGTCTCTGCGCAGTAGGCATGATACAAAGACCAACAAGAAGAGAGTTTGTGTTCCATCAGGATAGTTAGAGCAATAAAACAAAGCCTGTGCATAATAAACACTGTAAGTGGAAAAGCAACAAGTGAGCGCAGGCAGCTCTGGCCGCAGCAGTGCGTTAATGGGTGGGGAGCATGGTTCACCGGGTCCCCACCAGTCTGGGCTGTGCGCACATTGGTGAGTTCCAGGGCTGTTACTCTCCAAAGTTCTGGCATCCCTGTGAGTGACTTAACCATCATCTCTTGGCTGTTACAGTTCTTGGCACCTCAGTAATAACGAGGCACACTGTAGCTGGAAGATGCCTTTTATCAGACATGAAGTACTGACTGTATTCAACGCTTGATGCTGTTGTATCTTGGTTTTGTGAAAAAAATGGACTAGTCAGGCTTAGACTAAATCATCTGGAAAAAAATGAGAAAACCCTGAGGAATGGTGTACAGGTTGGTAGGTTAGCTGGGCCTATGGTGGAGCGTGCCTCAGTGCCCTGGCCTTTGGCTAGCTGGAGCAGGAGGTGCCAGGGCCCAGGGCTCACCTCCGGACCCAGCATCGCCACCCTGATGCGGTGGGAGAAGGCCGGTCTGTGAGCAGAGCCCGTCGGTTCGGGTACACGCCGTAATGCTACAGCAGGAATGAACGTGAAGCAGCTCCATCTATTGCTGAGCCTTATCCTTCAAGGGAAAGAAAACATTTCTGCTATTTCTATTTCTTTCCACTAGAAGATAGTCTTGAGTCAAATATTACGTACTTGAAGCAGCAACTGTGACTTTTAATGCTCATTTAAAGTGCTGATTTATTCAACAGTGAAAATAATAAATTAGCCCAACAGCAAATAATTAGAACAAAACTGTGGCAGTGAACATTACATTGGAATATGGCTAATAATAGAAACGTGTGACGTGCTGATATTTTCAGTGCTCAGAATATAAGGGATGAACTACAGAAAGTCAGTTAGTCTTAACTGCAGTACAAGACACTCCTAATAATAGTGGCAGATACCATTTCAAAGTATGTCACTGCAGAAGATAATTTAACTGGTTCTCTTCTGCGGTACTTAGTATCTCAATTTAAATTCCCTCAATAGCTGCTTCCTCATACTGTTTTCTAAAATAACTGGTATTTGCATAACTGACCGACTTAACGCTTGGGGTTTGGAGAAGTGCAATTTTTCTAGAGTGCAGGGGCCTGTTCTGTGCTTCTGAAGAAATAAAAATTGCTCCGGGTGAGATCCAGTTCTCACATAGCGGTACATTAATAGAAGCATTTGGGTCTCCAAAATTCAGGAGAAGAAACAAAGGCTACCTGAGAGATACAAACAGAACTGAAGAACCAAGTCCATTATCGAACATAGCTTGTATGGAGATGAAGGCATGGTGAAAGATACAGAGGTAAAAACATTTCTTAGTTAAATAAACAGAAGACATTAAAACATATCAGGGTTTCTCTTTCTTCAGAAAAGTTCTCCAGAGTTCTCTAACTCTGTTTTGTTCCTGAGTTTTGCTCTCCTGAACAAAACTACCTGCACATCAAGTTATCTCCAGGAGTTAACTTGCAGGTCCTTCAAAAAAAATCCTTGTTGCATTTTTTTTTGGCTTTTGGTTGGGTTTTTATGTCGTGGTGTGTTTTAGGGGTTTTTATAGCTTAAAACAAATCTTCTTTTAAAGTGAGGATTTCAAGAGCAGTAATAAATCTCTACCACGTACAGCAGAGTACAGCAGCCTACCTGTGTAATATTCTCCCGAGTTCCATAATTGAAATTCTGGACCATCACTAAAGAGAGTAATGTAGTGCTCTGGCTAAAGAAACTCAGCAAAACTACTCTCTGCCTCCTTCCTACCCGAGATGCTTTTTGAATATGCTATATATCAGGGAAGCGAGGTCTACTTTCTGGGGTACTACCAAACCAATTTGAAAAACAGGCTGCCCCACCGTTGTGGTCAGGTGTAGAACAAAGCCAGGCGATGGCCGGAGAAGCCCCTGGGCAGTGATGCATAGGCCTTTCCGCTCGCCTCGCGCCAACGCCGTTGGGCTGGGCAGCGCACGGGAGCTGTGGCTGGGGTCAGGAACATCAGCCTGACGAAGGTCCGGGCAGCCAGGGAGCGTGAAAGGCTCTAATGCACAAATCCATCATGTGTGTCGAACTCGGACTTTCCCGTTGCACAACTTCCTGTTACAACAGATCTAAGATTTCAAGTGGACTTGCATGTTGTTTTGTGGTACCAGACTAATCTTGAGAGTTAAAAGCAAACAATTTTTGTATGGGTCTCACAGATTTAAATCTGATTTACTTCTTTCTTCTGGTGTTTGATTTAAGGTGTGTGTATCCTGGATGATGATTTAGATCCTAGAAGATGTACGTGAGACCACCAGCCTTTGTTCCAGCTGTTGTGTTTCCCAGCTCGGCTTCAATACACGCAGATGTTCTGCTGCCTGCCATTTCAACAGTTTGTGCTGCAGCATTATTTCCTAATAATGCCTTTCCTAGGCACAAAGACGAGAACCATAGAGATCTCTAATTAAGTTCTTGGAGCTGGAGAGAAAAACAAAACCAAACAGAAACCCCCAAAAAAGAAGCTAGGATAAAGCTTTCTCTCGTATCACAGTGTGTGTGGCTAACTGGAAATTGTTACGTTTTCTAGCAGGTCATAACACACTAATGTTGGCAATATTTTGGAATAACTCAGGTTTTATTTGCTACTATATGTAAACATCTTTTTCTATCACACAGACATCACAGTTTACATTATTGCTTTTATACTGTGGTAAACGGAAATTTCTATTAATACGCAGCTATCTAAGCACAGTGTGATAAGAAAAAACTGCCCACAAGCTGTCTTGGGGCTGGTTTTTTTTTTTCTTCCCTAGAGAAAGACAATATGTAGACTGGCACAAGAAACATCAGTCCAGAGATTGATCACCACTGTACTACAGCAACACAAAACCAGTATGACAGAAAGAAACAGGTTACATCTTTACCACATATTAACTAACAGTATTTTCAAGAATTCCGACTGCTGAAATCCCACCTAACTAAATACAAACTTTTTCACCACAATAATTCTTAAAACAAGGCTAACCATTTTTTTTTTTTTGTAAACTGGTTGCTATTTAAACCAGGATGGAAAAATCGAGAAGATGAATGCCTGGGGCTTTCTGTGTGTGTATTTAATTTTTTGTTTTCATTTTTTTTGTTTTGTTTTTCAAAGAGTGAGAACACAAAACTATCTATCTGAGGTGCTTATATTGGCCCCTTTTCCTATTGTCCTTTAGGACAAAATGCCCTACTTTTTACACTGCTCTATCAGATGACAGAAGCACAACCAGTTTAGAAACATTTTCCGTTTCTTGCTTCCTAAGGAGCACTGTCTTCAAATCGCTTTCTGATCAAGTTGGTTACTTATGAAGCAATGCATTTACTTACTGAAAGACGAGATTTTATTTCTGCTTGTGGTAAGCTTCTACTTATCTTCAGATTAATTGGTTCATGGAGTGGCACAATATTTCAAGCATACACTAAACAACACAAGTGGAGGTAGTCTGTTAAACAGTTGCTACAGGAACAACAACAGTAAAAATTTAGAGAACCACCTTGTCTTCAGTTTTAGATTTTTTTTTCTAAAATGACTATTGCATATAAGCTTTCACATAGTGAATGCTTTAGAGGCAGCAAGTTAGAAAACTAACAGTACTTGCAAATTCTAATAAGATAATACATACTTTAAAACATGACAGTTAATAAATAACAAGAGAATTTACCAAGGTTTTAAGACTCTTCGAACAAACCATGAGCAACAAATTCTGATGCTAAACAAATTGATTATATCAACTTGCAGAAAGGTGGCCTACCTCCATTCTGAATCTTCCACAACCTTTAAGGATTGTCACCCTACAACGGTTAGTATAAAATACTGCTGACAAGAAAAACACTGCTCTTCCCTTTCCTAAAGAGTTTTACCTTTTCCCATCTATTTTCTAGCTACCACCACAATACAATTAGCCTACCACTGGTGCAAAACGGGGACACCCAGTACTAGTCTACATATAGCGAGTGACTCCTAGACAGAAGGACTGGGCTACTTGGTTGTACAAAACCACATGCAAATTCTAACTGTTTACTGGGACGGTGCATTGGAGCCTAATGTAAACATTCACCTTAATTACGACATGCAAACTAACGTATTCCCATGTATCTCGCTCATCTGATGATGGTTGGGTTTACTTTCTTCCCTTGTATGCTGCCAGTTTACTACCAGCTCACACTTTGATTTTTAAGAAAAACCAAAGATGCATCTCTCATCGGGCTCAATCTGCATCCTACACTAAAACAGCTTAGGCGTGTGATAGGAAATGTTAAACGATGGCTGGGCTTTAAAAGCCTCAGCAGTAGTTAAATGTCAGTCTCCTAGTGACAAGGAGCCGAGTTAAAGTTTCAAGGCTGGAAAGACAAGCGGGTGTAGATTATTTTTGCAACTGTTGCCAAAAAAGTGAAAGGTTGCAGACTCTTAGCACAGGGGACTGTTTGAGATTGATGGCTCAAGCAGTTTTGTTACTTGCCAGCAAGCAGTAAATGAAAATAAAGAATGGGATCTCCTTTACTGCTGCTGCTAAACATACTGGGGTCACTTCTGAAATTCAAAAAGTCAGTCTGATGTTGCTTGCAAAGGAGATGTACAAGCAATAGCAAAAATTACTAATGAAGGAAGACAAACGTGACAGAAGCTGGGGCTAGAAAGTAATGGAGAATTAACCTCTCAGCCACTGGGAGAGTCCGCTTTCCACTTCTTTCCTCAGATTTTAGGGATGTCCAGTATCTACAGGGGGCAGAGAAACAGAGCTCCACCATAGGACCTGCATCCCAGAACACTCTCCACAGCATCTCAGTTTTTTTCAGCGGTGAGAACTGCAGGGCCCAAGTATCTGGGAGTAGCAAAAGAACTAGGCTTCCTGTCATCAGTTTTGTACCTAATCTAGTCAGTTTAGCTGTTCAGTTTACAAGCCGTGGCATTACCATACTCTCCCTACAAGCATCTTCAAGCAATTTTTTTGTTTTTGTTTTTGTTTACAATAGCATCAACCCAACACAGATGAAATGAACCCTTCTCCACACTGCACGTTAAACTTGAGAGCTGTTCAACTCTCATCTGTATGTAAGGTGTCATAAAAAGAAAACTGAAGTGCATTACCTCCTACATATATACTGCCTAACCTGATCGGGAGCCTTCCCACAAATAAGAGATCACCAACCTTAAGGGATCGGGAGCAACTGGGTGCAAGAAGTCACTAGTTACACAGTACAGGCTCCCAGGATTACTGAGGTGGGAAGGCAGGGGCACCTAAAGCTGGCTGCCTACGACCATGTCCAGCTGGGATTTGATTAGGAGATGTAGTATTACATATTATAATAATACATTTAATACTTACGTAGTGTAACATTACTCATTACAAAAAGGGGGTTGTCTTTTTTTCTTCTCGTGTTCAGTATTTGTATTCTTGAGGAATCTCTTAATGATTAGTCACTGACTAGAAGTTAACTAATTTACCTGAGATGATTTAAAAAAAAGAGGCATGAAAGCTTCTATCGGCATACAAATTTTGTGCCACTGTGTGCTCTTTACGCATATACTGAATGAGTCTTTCCCAAATAACTCAAGCTTCTAAGGCTATGATCTGGTTACATAACCAAAATAAAATGCTGATTGAATAAAGCAGAAGGCACTTATTTCATAGTAGGTTTTAGAAAATGAAGTGATGGTCATACCAGATCTGTTTAAAGTTGCTTTAAGCAATAATTAGACACAATATAGATGTGAAGTCCTATTGACTAGATTGTCTAAGGACGCCAAGATTAAGGAACATGTCACAGTTGCATCCTTTCCATGGAAAATACATCTTTGTTATTGTACTCAGGTGTGAATTTATTTTCACAAAATAGGGACTGCAGCTGCAGTAATAACTTTATAAAAAGGCTAAATTAACTCTTTTGTACTTCCCACTGAGAATACCCCATCAGCTGCTAAAAGAAAGGGCTGACAACAGCCACAAAGCCAAGTAGCCTATGCAGCTGAAGTCAGATTAGAAAGTATCAAGAATTTTTACAGTAGGAATATTTTTAGAAGGAGTAGCTTTAGTCTTAGGATCTGATCCTCACACTGAAGATCTGTGGGGCTTTTTGTTTGTTTGCAAGCTTTTTCCAAGCGTAGGAATTTGCTGGTGCAAATCCACAGATAAAAAGAACTTCCTTAACCAGAAGAAATTTCTAGTAAGTACATCAGTATGTTGATGGATTAAGCCTCTTCTCCAAAATCATAAGTGACTAATATATTCCCTTCGTAGACCTCTTCGTTATAAATTTAAAATTGATGAGTGAACGACTGACTACACATACAGAACAAGAACACAAAAAAAAAATCTAAACCCAGAGTAATTTTAACTAAAAAGTTTTTAAAAAACAATTGTCAGACCTATTCATGGAGAACATGATGTGGCATGGATACTTGCTTCATGTTCCTGCACCAAGAAATTATAAAAGAAATTGTGAAAGCGATCCAGAGGCTCTTAGAGATTTGTGGTTGGTTTTTGTTTTTAAAAAGTTGTCCTTTGGAGAATAGCATATAAAGACCTGTAAACAGAGGTTGATTGTCCAAGCTTTCTTAACTGGATTTTGATTTTTTTTTTTTTAAACGTAAAAAAAAAAGTTCCATTGTTAAATAGTTTGTGGTGAAACACGCAAAGCTTCCATCCAAATGCATAATTCCATTTTCTTATGCAGAACCTCACAGACTGCAGAGGAGTTAAGGTTTCTTTGTGTTTTGTAAGGTTAGTATCACATCATAATCCAGCAGAAGTCCCTTAATTTTTTCATGGAATTTCTCTCTGTACTGGTTGAAGTGCATAATGCTTTCTGGTTCTTCTTCAAACCAGAATTTGTCAAACTCATAAACCAGATAACCTGTGAAGAAAATAAAATACAGATCTGCAAAAGTTACCTCCACAATTTTCTGCTTTGATCTAGCTAGACCTAGAATGACCCTTTAGACTCTATTCAATCCCTTAAAATACCAACTGTCCCATCCTGGTCAACAGCAAGCTTTTAGACACTGTAATAATGAATAAAATATAAAAAAAAAATCTGCAAATACTGAGTTTTCAGACTGCAGTCTCTAATATACAGAAAGGCACCCAAGCTTATCCCTTAAATGTACATTTGTGTAGCACAGTGTTTAAGCATCAGGTGCATTTCCAATACATGATCCAGAAGGTAAACAGCTTGCTCTGGCTAATGAGAAAAGGGTGGAAACGTGCTACAAAAAACCTAAACTCTACATTGTAGGCCTGCCCCAGTAGTCTGTACTAAAGAAGCTACAGATACTTACAGTAAAACTGATGGAAGTGTTCCATCTGTGGCAATCCAGAGACCATGTTGTACAGATGAGACTTTAAAGCACCGTTCTTAAGTAAGCTGTAAGCCATTTCTGTCAGATTGATTCCAACTATTGCGTAAGAATATCTGCAACACCAATCATAGGTCACATTTTACCTCACAGATGGAAGGACTTAAAAGCCTCCCTGTAACAGTCTGCATTAGGGTAACTGTAAGAGTCAGTTTTTCCTACAGTACTTGTTGACAAGCAGACTCTGGCCTACAGACCGCTCTTTCTGTTCTCTGGCACATCCATGTAAAAGTTATTTAAAAACACCCGTTTTCTATACAGCAGTACGGCAAACAGTATAGACAATAATGAGATGGTAAGGCTAATCCACATTGACCTCAATTTGCTCATTTGAAATCATTAAATCCGCTGAAATATTAAAAATCAGACATTAAAAAATGTTGTTACAGTAGAAACAGAATGGCCAAGTCAACCTTTTCCTCAAACTGAAAAAAAAAAAAATCTTTCTGTTGCATGGTATAGAAAGCACTGCAATAGAAATTCTTATAGGACTGTTAAAACAGGTGTTTCTGGGGGCGGGAAAAAAAGGATTAACTTGTGTCAATGATATAGGTATTTAATTGATCTAAACGTCTCAGATATCCTATTCGTGATCTAGCTGGACAAGGCAGTATTATTTACAATTGAAGTCATGAAAGCTTCCTGTTCTTGTTAGGTGGTTAACTGGGGACAAGATGGATTAGATGATCCACACAGGTTTCCCAGCTTTCCTCTGTATCTGACTCATTTTCGAATATATTTCTCATGAGCTAAATGTTTTGATATGCTAAATTCTCAAAAATGAAGTTAAACAACAGCAAAACATCTATTTGTATATACTTACTACAGAACAGAAACCTAGCAAGAAAGGGATCTTAAGAGAATCGATACCATCCCAACACAGGATCAGTAAGAAGGCGAAAAGTAAGTTTTAATTTGTAAATCTCGTCTATTACAAATCAAGTTAACTATAATGTTAAAGGTGTTCACTGTGTTAACCACAGTCAATGTTTTGCAATGTTGCTGTCCCAACAAGTCTATTCTGAAAAAAAAAGGCTGCACATAATTCCCAGCCTGAAACTGATTTCTGTTTGGTTTCTCACACCTTTCTACTTCAGCCCTTTTTCCATCCTTTAACGGAAAAAAACACAAATGTTTTCCCCTTTATCTTCAGTACACGTACTTGGCAGTCTTCACATGAGCTCTTACATGGAAAAAAGTCAGAAAAAGCCAGAGTGACTTACCCCAGCTTTGGGTGATTTGAACGAGAAAGGATCTGACGAGCTTCGTCAGTGTAATGCTTACTAAAATACCTGTCAGGGTAAAACAGGATCTTCTGTTACTTTTTAAGCTCATATAAAAAAAATACTAATGTGTTCAACATCAAAATGCATAGCTGTAAACTAAAGCTCAATACTACTCTGTACTGGAAAATGGCACAAATGAAAACCAAGGAAAAGGTAGCAAATTAAATTATATTCAGTGTGAACTAACACAGTTAAAAAAAAATCATTGTGATCTGAACATCAAATAATGAAGTTCGCCCAAGTTTACAAATTAGCTTAGCAAAGTTACACAAACCTGTTTATTTTTCATTACAGTAATTCAGGAATTTTAAAATATTTTAGAAAGTTACTTTCTAAGTCATAACCTATCAAATCTATCACATGACAACAAAAAAAATAAGGTGTCGTGGGCAACTTTCTGTTCCCCACCTTGCTTGTTGGCCTCTACCCAACCAGGCATTTACAGATGTGCAGCTGTTAAGAAATGCTGACTTAATTAGAAAATACCGTTTTTCACTTGAGAGAATCCACTGTTTCTATTTGCTTCTATTCAGCCTTTATTAGAAATAGCACTAACTAGAGAAAATACATAGATATTGAAAATTAGCTATAACAGAAATGAAATACTATGTTTCACTTACACCAGATTCACTAACCCCAGCAGGCCCATTCCTCTGAAGTCTGTTTTGGGGTCATCACCTTGGAAGCCAATGTCACACCACTGCTTGGTGATTCTGGCCTTCAGGTTCTCATGAGGCATCAGCAAATTCCAAAGCTGCACAAATATGCTTCCATGTTATGCACAGCTGCTAGAGTATTCTAAGTCACAAAATTCAGAACACTTTCTGCTTCACGTTAGAAACCATTCACCAAGGAACAAGATACGATCTGCATGATGTTCTTTTTCTGTTAGTGGCAATCTAGAGCCATACTACAATGGCTTATTTAAGCAATTAGGAAAATGATTACATTTAATATTAAATGCAATAATTTCCCTTCATGGACAAAGCCACTGTATCCATACTAAAGGAACAAGGACTCATTTCACTTCAAAAATTAATTTATGTGTCTTTTTCTGATAGGACAGCTATAAACTGAAGTACGAATTCTCAACGAACAATTACTTAACACAGGAATGCTGGGACTTGCAGAGCAGGTTGAGATACTTACGAAATGCTAAGAAAATGACATGCTAATATAACTGCACAGTAGAAGCTATTTTAAAAAGCCTCAAGCACTATTAATGTTATTTGCTTGCTGTTATTTATTGTTACCCAAAATACATTACTGATAGGTTTTACCTTCCAGCATTAAACTATTCTCTTTGACTGGAATGCAGTAATAAGAAAACACTAGTGTCTTATTTAGTAATTATTGGTTCAAAAATTTAAGACGTGCATGAAGTTAAATATCTTTTTAGTTACGGTCCTTCAGTGACGCATTACAAAATTATTTTGCTATTTATGTGTTGTTGTTTTATCTGTTTTCACACAAAATAATCCCAGTGCAAGTAACTCTAGTTTACTAATTTGTTTTCCTTTGATTGTATTTTAATGTGTCTCTTCTGTAATGGCTTAGCAGTTCACAAGTAGAAGTAAGTAGGCCAGCTGGTAAGAATACTACCAATAAATTAAGTTCATTCAAGCTGTTGGACTTGGAGGAGAAAAAAACCAAACGAATAGCTTTTGTATTTAAAAGATTATTTTCACCTCGATTAACTGTTCTTCATGTTCTTCGTTATCCGAATCATACGGGACCTTCCTCAGATTTTCCACATTGAAATAAAGTCTTTTATAACCGGATATCTGCAGTAAGGTTATATGCAGGTTTGTCTTAAACCTGAAATAATAACAAAACACCACACAGAAGCTATTAAAAGAGGCACAGTCAGCCATAAACTCTTGCTTGAACTATAAGACCTTTCTTATGTTAATGCAATGTAAACGCTAGAATTGTAGGAATTGCTTTATGCTTATCTTTCAAGCTACAGCATATTTGTAGTAGTTTACTACTACATGGATCGTATTTCTACTCAAAGAAACTCTAGCCAATTCCAGTGCTGCTGTCAGGCCCTATTTGCTTAAATTATGGAAGAAAAAAACCCACAAAACTTAGCTAAAAATCTGTATTGACACAAGAAAAATCCATATATCGTCCTGACCCCTGTACCTTCACCTGCCTCCAAACTTTTTCTAAGTCTTAAAGTGAAACTTTGTCAGAAATACTTACAGCTTCAAAGAAGCATTTCATTAAACTTTCAAATTTTGACGGCTCCAAATTTTTCCTCTCAATCGCTCATAATTACTTATGCAGATGAATGCAAACATTAATCAGACATCACTATATATCTCAAACATATCTAAGTGATTACATAGCTCATGTAATCAACATATGTGATAATCACATGACTTAGAAATAAAGAGTAACAGAAGGGACTTGCAAGATAGAGATGCAGTTATCCCAAATCCATGCCAATTAAAACTTTGCAATTTACCTTCTAGAACTGAAGAGGACACAACGATACCGTATTTTCCTATTGCATTCTAAAGATTTCTGCTCAACAGCCTAAATATTGTATCAGATTAAGCAACTCTGAGAACACACCAAGAAGTCAGAATTATCTGCCGTGAAGAACTTATGTTCGGTTTCCAAACATACCCTGTATCCTTCTGCTCGATTTTCTTTTCTTTCATTACATCTCTGACACAGTTCTCCACTTCAGCTTCCTCGGCATGTACAGCATTTCTTAAAACCTAGGAAGTTAACACAGTAAAAGACTTCTTTAGGAATGCAGAAATCTATCATCATTTCATTCTTATTTCTCAGCTTCTGTATACCTGTCACGTACGTACTCTTTACTAGAAGTCAACTTATTGCAAATTTTTACAATAAATGGGCTCAAATCACATACAAAAAGCTCTGCAATAATTTCATAAAAGCATAATTTGTAACTTTGTCAGACTGTAAGCAACACTGTTTACACAGGAGTACCAAAAAGAATATATAAAAAGGTTGAGAAACTTAGTCTAGGTTCCTGTTTGTGTTAAAATGCTGAATTGAAACATGTTCTTCATAATCCAACTGAAAAACACAGCTATTGAGGAGCAAAAGTGATAAAACTTCAATAAGGAAATAATGCTTCTGAATTAGGAGACTGTGAACAAACAAAGTTCAGTGCTGTGATGAAACAAAAGAACTTAATGTAAGATAGTGCAGTTCTGCAGTTTTCTAGAGTAAAGGGCAAATGCTAGTAATGATGATTACACGCTAACTACCTAAAACCACTTCACAACAATTTAACTTGGTCTTCTAAAATTTATGGTCATGGTGCATTCATTAGTACAATTCATGTCGACACCAAAGCAGCTCCATTTCAGTAAAGCAAAAGGTTAACTCTTTTAAAACTGAACATCAATACATTTGATATAATCATTTAAGAGATGCTAAAAGACCCGCCCCTACTGTGCTCTACTGCAACAAAGATGCTCGTGGCAGTCACTAATTCTCTCTCAACATCCCACTGCAGTGATCATCTTGAAAAAAGGGGAATGCAGTCACCTGTCTAAAAAGTTTTGCTCAAGATATTCAAACTCAAGGGTTTAAAGTGTTAGCTTAGGTTCAACTGCTACAGGAAAATTTGAATGAGTTTGTCAGATGTCTACCTGCAGACCTGCATTACATTTTTTTCAACAATTCAAGACACTAATGTATACACTACATTTCATTGTTCTATCCGTATTTTATCTACATCACACTTCTTAAAGTTTTCTATAAAAACAGCAAAAGAGATTGTTTTGACAGAGAACTGACCCTCTCCTAGCGCAGAAGCTCCGAGAGATGACTTTCTAAAGTAACCTTCCAGAGAGATGGAAGCAAACATTTGAAGGGTTGTGGGGTTACTTTTGAGAAGCCCTGACTAACCCTCGCATACAGAACCCAAAGTGCTGTTCTCTCCTCTCTGCCTTTTATTCCTCTACTTCCCTCTGCCCTCAAAAAGTAAATGCGTGTAATCTTTTCTGGCATCTGTCTCTGAAAGGAGGTTTTATTACAGTTTAGTCTCTAGTATCTTTTACCTTATTCTTTGATGATTCCAGTGAATGTTCTGAAATACAAAAAAAAAGTAAATGTCACAGTTAAATCGAGCTGAATTGTTTTAAATAACTGACAATAGGTGTTCTTGTGGCATGTATTATAAAGTTTTGCACCCCTTTTATCAAAAATTAATCTTAAAATCAACAGGCATCAGGTAACTGAAAGTCTTAAGTTACATTGGGTTTTTTTTTATAATCCTCGAGTACAACTCTGAAAACTGATTTTTTTTAAAACATCGATCAATTATATGGACAAAAATTAAGACAAAGGTGTCAAGGCAAAAATATGTCTTGATGGTTTTCCATTCTTAGAAATGTTTTTGTTACCAAAGCATAAGGAAGAAAATTCATTTACTCAAGCTACTGGTAAAACGGCAAAAACTGTACAGTTTCTTCAATTCTAATTTCAGATCAAAATTCTGCATCAAACACTCTTTCTCCCTTCCCCAGAAAAACGCATTCATGACTGTTCTGTTAATAACGGGAAGGTAAAAACCAACACAACGTGACGGGAAGACTTGGAGGAAAAAAAACCAAACAAACAAACAAAAACCCCTAAGATTTCGGGCTCGCTTTTTAAAGCTAACCGGCATTACCTTAAGCAAGCGGGCAAGGAAACTAGACCTGTCATTCCGATTTAAAAATCTCCCGGCATGGCCGGGAAGAAGGGAACAGTGAACAGATGATCCCGGGGCTGCCCTGGGGCCGGGGGCCGGTGTTTTTTCTTTGTTTTTCCAGGGGTTTCCCCTGTTACCTATGCTCAGCGTCCGCCGCGCCCCTGCCCCCGAGCCGTCAAAGACCCGCTGCAACTCGCATTTCCGCGTCAGCAGCCTCAAGATCCACTTCAGCCAAAACCGAAAGTAGTTGCTGTACAGGAACCCCCAGAAGTACACCAACATCTTCTGCGGGAAGAAAGCCCCGCGTTAGCGGGATGGGGAGGCGGCAGCCCCCAGCCTCCCCCCGCCCGCCATCACCGGGGGCAGCTCCCGCCCTCTCACAGGCACAGGCACACACAGGCACAGGCACACACAGGCACAGGCACACACAGGCGCACACAGACACACACAGGCATAGGCACACACGGACACAGGCACAGACACAGGTACACACAGGCACAGGCGCACACACAGACGACACAGGCACACACAGGCACAGGCACACACAGACACAGGCACACACAGACACAGGCACACACAGACACAGGCACAGACACAGGCGCACACAGGCACAGGCACACACAGACACAGGCGCACACAGACACAGGC